ATTCAAATAAACTTAATTTAAACACATTTGAACAGTCATAACATTTTTTTTTAATCTATCGCTCATTTGGAAAGCTGTCTCATAACAAGAAGAACGAGCTAGAAACTTGTGTGTTGCTCTTTTAAATAATCCTTCTAAGTTTACATTTATAAATCGAAACGCGTGAATATAAACTACCAACCAGCACTAATTTATTAGGGTCAAATATAAAAAGAGAATAACATTAAATCAGTCGTAGTGATAAGAGCAGACCAGTCCCTACCCTACAAGCAGCACTCGTTCATGAGTATGACGGATGAGCCAGTCATCACTGCGCTCGACCATATTTTAGGGAGCCCAATGACCCGGCCCACCACGCCGCCACATGTCTAGACATTTTAGTGAGCATCACTACTCCAGACACTCGACCACGTCATAGCTACTTAAAATTACTATACGGTAGTTACAGTATTCGCTATCATATTTCTGTAGTGAATATCTGAAAATGGCCTTTGTGAAATAATTCCTACGTGAACGAATGAGAGAAACTTCAGTGTGGTCACAATCCCGGCAGATTGCGATGCGGCCGGGGATTTTAGTTTGCAAAGGTATTCATGGACCAAATGACATGTACACCGAAATAACAGTAACGTAACAGTGTATTCTGTTGCACACTAGGTTACTTTAATCTTCTTCAAATTCAAAAATCATTTATTCATGTAGTATATTTTTTCCGTTTATGAACGTCAGATTTTTTTATATTATAATTTCTATAGGACACAGTTACCTAGATTCATTTTCATTCATAATTTAAGAGCTGTGCTCTTGTCGACGGAGCTCCCGCCACCTTCCACGATCTTCTATCAGTCCTTTTAGCTGTTGATACGACACGACTCCAACTTTTTCTTTAACTTGCTTGATATCTCTTTCCATCTATTTTTCCTTCAATAATGTTGTCAATTAGTTCGTCGTGTCGTATCAAGTGCCACAACATTTTTCCTCGCACATTTTAGTTACCTAGATACATTAAAATAATAATTACATTTAATAATGGCTAGTAAGACAAATCCAATATTGTGTATTAAGCACTGCCGTATCTAAACTGTGTCCCCCACCTTATATCTTCCTATTGTCATTTAGTATATAAGATCTATATTTTTATGTACATATTGTCAGTCTATTATCATCTGTAATATACATCGTCTCAACCGACAACATCGTATTATTACCCCGCAACAATTTCCTTGCCGTCCAGTTCAGTATACAGATTCAATTGAGATGAACTGTCGAGAAACTCAATTGAATTTCTCATTTTATTTCTTGTTTCTAATCTGGGAATTATTCCTGGAACTAGCGACAATTTACAATGGATAGAGTGTTAATATTCTTTTGTTTTATTTATTACTACCTACTCGCTTCGGCTTCGCATGGGTGTACATGTATTATATATACAAACCTTCCTCTTGAATCACTCTAGTTATTAAAAACCGCTTCAAAATTCGTTGCGTTGTTTTAAAGATTTAAGCATACATAGAAACGGACAGACAGCAATAGCGATTTTATTTTATGCTGTGTAATGAAGGGGGTTGGTCTTTACTCGGTGCTAAAGAGACCTGTAGCACTGTGACCTGTATAGATCTATTGTGCTTGCCCTTTTTTAGAATTCGCTGCCTAGGTCTGTCAAGGATAAGAATTGAAGGATATTCTTAGGAGCGATGGTTTTTATCTCCTCTGAATACTTTCCAAAGGAGATATTTCATTTATGCATAAGTAGGCTACAACATAGGATGTGTAATGGCGTTTCCTGTTCCATTTGGAAAAATCTGGAAATCTTTGTTAAGATCTAAATTTGCTATGTGTTTATTTAATTTTCAGTGTTCAGTGATGCATATATTGTTATTTTTTCAATAGCATTAGTCTATTAGTGTATTGGCTTTTGAATGTAATAATCCCGGCATTTTCTGCCAGTGATTTAATGATTCCTGCTTAGTTACTAGTTTGAGACTTTCCATCTTCAGGCATCGAGCTACGTTAAAAAAAGTTCTTTCTTTTTGGAAGGTTGTAAATTGTATTTTTATATTGTTTTTAAATTTTATAATTGTTTTTAGTTATTAGTTTTAGACATAGCCCGAAGAATTGCGATACTGAAGGCAATGGGCATGGCACATAGCTCGTAGGACAGATGGCCGTTGGGGCAATAAAGCCCTCGAGTGGCGACCATGGATCAAAAGACGCAGCGTGGGAAGGCCTCCAGCAAGGTGGACCGACGATCTGATCAAGATCGCTGGAAGGCATTAGATGCGAGCAGCGCAGGACCGATCGTCGTGGGGATCTTTGGGGGAGGCCTATGTCCAGCAGTGGACGTCTTCCGGGCTGCGATGATGACGATTAATTTTAGATGTCCCGTCACAACTTTAGGCAGCCTATAGATTATTTTCCTTCTAGAAGATATATATTGCATTTTTATATTGCCTTTAAATTTGATAATTATAGTTTAATAACGTATTTTTCTATAATATTCTATTGTATCGGTGTCGTATCAGAGTCATTCTTATTATCTCCGTATATTATTTTTAAAATCATCAAAACTTCTCCCTTATCAGGTATTTTAGATACTTTTACTTGACATATAGTTATAGAATCTTTGCCACATACACTATACACCCATACGAAACCGGGGCAGGTCGATAGTATATTGTAAAATTAGATTAATGAGTCCAAAACTCATTAATTACCAGCACTCCGATAAAGCACATAAAACACATAGAGAGCTGATAAAATCGCTATATGTTTGTCTCGCTTCCTGTAATATATTGCCTCGTATTTATAATAAATGTGCAGCCAAATTATGACTTATTAGCTTTTGCCTGCGGCTTCGCTCGCTTTAATTTATCCCATTTATCAAAATCCTTTCTTAGGGGATGCCTACGTCATAGTAGCTTTATGCATGCAAAGTCTCAGCCCGATCGGTTTAAAATTGACAAAGTTTCAGACAACTTTCATCCTCTATTTTATCCCCTTGGGGGTAGAACTAATCGAAATCCTTTCTTAAAGAATGCCTACGTCATAACATCTACACTACATGCCAAATTTCAGCCCGATCCGTCCAGTAGTTTGGGCTGTGCATTGATAGATCACTATGTCAGTCACGTTTGAGTTATATATATTTAGATTTATTAATCATTCAGAACAAAATATTGGCAGTATGTTTTTTTTTTCAACAAACTTTGGTCGTAAAGTGCATCTAATTTTTCACCGGTTTTCGATTTTTTTATACTATGATGGTGGCTAGCATACGGCCCATCTGATGTTAAATGATTACCGTAGCCTATGAACGTCTGAAACACCATGGATTTCATCGCATTGCCGACCCTTAAGAAACCCTACTTGAAAAACCCCATGCTGTAGTCTCGTGGGAAAACCTCGGCAGGAAGTTCATTCCACAATGTACGCGGGAGGAAGCTCCTCTGAAACCGCACTGTCCGAGACCACTTAGGTTCCAGCGTGTGGGGATGAATTCCCTGTCGATATATAAAGCAGCGGAGCCTGTCAGTAAGCAGTGCGCTGATTTAAAAACTTAAAACGACGGGAAAACAACTGTATGTATCTCAGTTTTATGGTTGAGTTTATTTAAAATCAAGTGTGTTGAAAGACGTCGTATGGTATTCGTGCGTGTTTAACACACTTGGCTCTATTACGCCTATTCGTCTTCAAGTGGGGCTGAAATTCTACCTCGTGTGTTAACCAGCATAACGCACTTATATATATCGTAACATAGTTTTAAATTTAGAATGCGTTGGACAGTCTTTGATGAATGGATTCTTTGTTTGACCAAATGGAATTTGACAGAAAAATATTTTGTAGGAATACATAAAAATGAAATTCTTTATTTAAATTTGGCGCGTATTCGCAATTGTATCAAACTTCAGACAGATATATTTTATTTATTTATTTATTTTAAATTTAGAATGCGTCTTCAGATCAGTCTATAATGTAATTCTTTGTTTGACCAAATGGAATTTGACAGAAAAATATTTTGTAGGAATACATAAAAATGAAATTCTTTATTTAAATTTGGCGCGTATTCGCAATTGTATCAAACTTCAGACAGATATATTTTATTTATTTATTTATTAAATTTTAATGCACAAAAACAATGTGTACATATGGCGGACATAATACCATACGGCGTTATGTACCAGGCAACCATGAGTGGTGCAGAGAAAGATTGTTGGCGGTGCACTAATATTAATGAGAAATGTCAAAAAAAGGTATACAAATATAAAGCAAAATATTTTAAATATAAATTTCAATAAAATAATAATAATAATCATCATCATTCCCATCGTTATGTCGGTGAACGGTTGAACGGCGGCTCACTCCCGGGAAAGGTGCAGAAAGCGGTGCTCTTAGATTCTGCCCGCATTGTACGCCGGTTTCTCTCCCTGGGGCCCTGAACCCCGGCCGACTGTGCTTCTGCCGGGGGTATGTTGCCATCTCCTCTCCTTAAGAGGGTAGATGAAAATTTTTGAAAAAAAAAATAATAATAATAAACATATATAAATATATATATATATTATTTCGATTAAAAATATCGAGAAACTGAATTCGATTTACCAGAAAAAAGGTTCGAATGTCTTATAATGTATTTTCTTTGTTTTTACAAGTCTTTATAAGCTTATTATACAATTGAAGAATTTATAAATGATAATAATGTTTTGTATAAAATATCTAACTTAAAATTCATATCGCCGACAATGTTATCTGATTGAACAGAGACTAAGTGCGTAGCGGTTTCTATGTTGATTATCGCATGAAATAAATCTAATTAAAACAATATTTATTTAAAATAGCAACACACAAGTTTCTTACTCATTCTTCTTGTGATGAGACTTCATTCCGAATGAGCGGTAGAATAAAATAAATGTGACTATTCAAAAGTGCTTATATTAAGTTTACTTGAATAAAAATTATTTCTATTTCTATTAAATAATTCTTAAGGATGTACGTTTCTATTACAGAAACTAAATGGAAGGCAGTCGAAGGCATCTGCACACAAACGACACTGGTTGGTGATTCAAAACATGATACAGTACTAAGATGAGCGGGAAACGAGGGCCGTGCAAGAGCTTCGCCATCAGCATCATACAGATTATCACCATTATATGCCAAGGTAGGTGGAGCTAAAGCGATCTATTACATTTTTAATTTTTTTAGATAAATTATTTATTCATCAACACATCTGTACTGCCCTATACCAAGCGTCTGAGCTTAACCAATGGCGGCAGCTGGTCGACAAGATAGCTTAGAAGAGCAATTTTCAGCAGTGAGGGAAAGGTCACGTAGAGAAATACATATATTATGATATAGTAAAATATAGTTTACTTATTTAAAAAATGGAGGTGGCTTTATATGTCGCAAAGATGAGATTAGATTTGTATTAGATTAGATTAGAGAGGATTTAGAGGCAACTCAGTAAAGAGCTACAGATAAATCTCCAACACTGATATTGTGTTCGCTCCTATAATTAAATATATATATATTTACTTGCACAATTAACATACAGCCAAGCAAGTTAAGCAGAGCTTGTGTCATGGGTACTAGACAACACATAAATACTAAATACTCATATATTTTTTTTTTAAATACATATATAATATATATAGGAAACACCAAGACCGATACAAACAATCACACTCATGAATACAAATGTTTGCACCGTCCGAGTCGAATCAGCGACCATTGGAAGTTAACCAGTGTGATTAACTGCTAGATCACCGAGGCCGTTGATAAATATTACTGTATCTAAAAACGTTACGTATACTAACTTCCCTATTAGCATTATTTCTAAATACGTCGCTGTATCATTTTCCAAGAAATAATATAGACTTATCTCATTTCAAAGCAACTTTTAATAAAGTCTTCCTATTAATTAATTATATTCTAAATGTTGTTTCTACAGAAGTTATAGAAGTTATAATTATAACATATAAACGAGCCTTGTTAATTATTACAATATAATAATTACATTCCGTCTGTCCGTCGTCATACGAATGAGTATTTTTTAATCTGTTCACGCCATCTATTGACGACTGGGCGCAAGTAAAGTTAACGTGAGCGTGATGTTGGTAATAAACGGCTTCACTTTGACAATTCAAATAAACGCAACGTTATACCCAATTTACACTCAGCCCGAGTGGGCAGGGAAGTGAGCAGCGCGAGAGTGGAAACACGAGTGGAAACGCTTCCCATGCCATTGGCGCTGCCACTCGCGCTGCCCGGTGCTCCCTCGATTGTCGGTTTTTCGTGCGCGAGTCAAAGGACTGGCAGCGCGAGTGGAAGCGTGTTTTTACATTCAGCCCTCTCGCTCAGTTGTCGCCCGGCAATATTTCCGGCAGCGCGAGTGCTAGAGGAAGGGAAGGGTCATTTTAATCATAATCTTTCTATACTGTACTATGGACAATAAATAAATTACCCTGGATAATTAACACAGCGCCATCTAGTCCCACTATAAACAGAGCTTGTGTTATGGGTACTAGACAGCAAATATAAATACTTTTTTATGCAAATACATACATAATAACATAGAAAACATCCAGACTGACATAAACAATCATACTCATGAGTACAAAATAATGTTCGTGCCGTGCGAGTAATCGAACCCGCGACCATCGGGATTGAAACGGTATTCTAAACTGCTAGACTAACGCTGTCACAATATCGAATTCTTGCTCATTCTTCTTGTGATTATTCTGCATTCTAGTTGAGTGGCAGAAACAAAAAATGTGACTATTTAAAAATGCGTGTATTAAGTTTATTAGAATAAATATTATTTCTATTTCTATAAAGAAAAATATTTCAATCTTGATTACAAGTATTGATGACATAAGGATGACATCCATTCTTATCTATCAAGTATTCCTATTCTCTACCAGCGTTCGGGTTCCCGGAGAAATACAACCCCGGATTCTTCAAGTCTGTGGTGAAAAGATATCTTTTGGGTAAGCGCACTACATCCTAGGTTCAACCATCATTTCCCATCAGATGAGGTAACACCAAGCGCAAACCCATTAATAATAATAAAAAAATAATATTGTTATATATATTTTAGAAGTATTATTATTAATTAGGTATAGTTTTTGCGGCTTTACTTTTGTTTCCTTTCTTAGCGGATGCCTACGTCATAGCTTTACGCAAGCAGAGTCTCAGCCCGATCGGTTTAAAATTGACAAAGTTTCATACAAACTTTCATCCCTATTTATTTTATTTCTTTCTATTTTATCCCCTTGGGGGTAGAATTAATCAAAATCCTCTCTTAGCGGATGCCTACGTCATCCATCATCCAACATCTACCTGCATGCCGAATTCGATCCGTCCAGTGGTTTGGGCTGTGCGTTGATAGATCACTATGTCAGTCCCCTTTGAGTTACATATTTTAGATATGTCTCCCTTTGATGGGGTGCTTGTATTTGTGGGTGAAAATTACCAAACAATGACAACTATAAAAGAAAAGATGTTGATGAAGATTTTTTAAAAGAAAAACAAAAATATTTGGACAATTCTACATGTGTTAGCATTTTAAAGAAGTATGAAAGTAAGGTGAAGTTGTTATTATTATTATTAAGTATGAACGTGCACATGTGGTGTTCTCAGCTATTACATGCACTGTAATCTTAAAAACTTTTAAAATGTATATATTATTTAAATTATTAACCGGGTCTTAACACGAATAATTTTATGGCAAATAAAGGTATTTACCTCTCTCGACGTTTCGACTAGGTTGCCCTAGCCGTGGTCACGAGCTGACTGGAGCAACAGCGATGTCATTGTAGGCAGATGACAGCAGTTTTTTCTTCTACCGTCACAAGATTGTTCAACGAAAGTACGCGACACACAACACTCACGGTATTCAGATACTTATCGACTGTTGAACTTTGTTTAAATTTATTTATGACTGGATTCCACGCAGAAGATAATTTTAAACCATCCTCTCTGTTAAAATTGGGATGTTTCTTAATTTCAATCGCCTCCCGGACCATTCGTAGATAATAGTGGCGATCAGTAGAGAGGACCTTAGGCGCATGTAGTTCAATCCAGTGATTTGTTCCAGCGTTCAGTAGATGATCGGCAATCGCTGATTTGTGTGGTTGTCGATTTTTAACAGCTGCGATGTGTTGTGCCTCTATTTGCCATAAAATTATTTGTGTATAAGACCCGGTAAATAATTTAAATAATGTATTTTATAATGTATTTGTTGGAGATAGAAAAGATGTTGTTAGTGATAGAAACAAGTATGAAAGACGTGGTATAAAACCTTTCACTGTTACTTATCGGGCTGACTATAGACTTAAGGATTTCAATAGCATATCGATTCTTTATTTACGCGATAGAAATGAAGTCATTAGTGATAGAACCAGCTATGAAGGACGTGGTATAAGACCTTTCACTGATACTTATCCGGCTGACTATAGACTTGAGGATTTCAATAGCATATCGTTTCTTTATTAACGCGATAGAAATAAAGTTATTAGTGATAGAAACGGGTATGAAAAAAGTGGTATAAAACATTCCACTGTTACTTATCGGGCTGACTATAGACTTGAGGATTTCAATAGCATATCGATTCTTTATTTACGTAATAGAAATGAAGTCATTAGTGACAGAAACAGGTATGAAAGACGTTTTATAAAACCTTTCACTGTTACTTATCGGGCTGACTATAGACTTAAGGATTTCAATAGCGTATCGTTTCTTTATTAACTTCAATCTTATTGTTTTTGTAAAGTTTGCCTTATTGTTATTGAGTCAAGTTTTGCTTCGTTTTTGTTTTACAAAATATGTTCTATCCAAGTCTGAAGGTTCTACCTGGGAGTTTGTTTAACTTAGGCTCATTATCGCTAAAATATCGGTTTACAGCAACTGTTTGTAATAGGAAACACAAGCTTGCTTATCCACAATAAAAGACAAATTAATAGAACAGAAATTATTAAGGTGAAATTAGATTTCGTATTACTCATTCTAAATGTAGCTGTTGGATTATATATTTAGGATTAGTTGTTCCCGCGACGTCGTACGCGTGGAATTTAACCTTATTTTTTTAAAATAAAAGTAGCCTAAGTTGCTCTTTATTATATCAGCTACCTGCCAAAAAGGGTCTCGTCAAAATCGGTCCAGCCATTTCAGAGATTAGTAAGAATAAACAGACAGACAGACAGACAGACAAAAAAATAAAAAATTATATTTTGGTGTACGTACCGTATTTATATTCATATCTATATACAACCTAATACAATATATTACAAACAGAAACTCCAGTTTTATTTATATGTATAGATTACTTACTACTAATATGACGAGAGTTTCGGTGGTCTAGCGGTATCCTTAACCGCTTTAGTTTCTATTGTGGCGGGTTCGATTCCTCACACGGTGCAAATATATGTATATATGTTATGTTATCTGTGATTATATCGATCTGGGTGTTTCTATATATACTATGTATGTATTTACAAAAAAAATATCTTAGTATTTATATTAGTTGTTTAGTACCCATAAGATAAGATCTGCTTGCCTTGGGTCTAGATGGCGTTGTGAGAACCGTCCATGGATATTTATAATCATCATTATTACTACAGTTTTTTATTTCAGCATTTGAATAAGACACGACATACTGTCTTGGCGGAACCTTCGATTGAAGTCGGACGGTTGGTGTGTTATTTTTTTTTTCTTTATATAACTTCAATGCACAAAATACCAAGGTAAAAGTACATATGGCGGACTTAACGCCTTACGGCATTTTCTACCAGTCAACCACAGGTTGTGCAGAGAAACTGTAGGCGGTGCAAATGTAATCAATAAGAAAAATAAAACCTATGTCATAAATAATATATATTTACTAAACGTAAGTAAAAGTACATGTAAACATACATATACAAATACATACAATATATAGAAAGCTATAGATAAATCTGAATAAAATATATACCTAAATATAACATGTATATATCATATAACATACTTAATAGTCTGACAATGAAATAGCAACAGCAGATGGAACATAACAAAAAAAAAACAAATTCAGCAACTATAACATAGAAAAGATGTACAAATAACAATGAGTCACGCAAAAAGATAAAATGGAAATAGTTATAGTGTCTTTTTTGACTAAATAGCTAT